TTGAGCTGATTGTCTAGATAATGTGGGATCCTCAACGTCTCACAACCCTATGGGCCTTCATGGCCTGTTACAGGGATAGCTTTACTTTACTTAGTTTACTTTTACAGGAGTCTGTGAAGAGAGGACTTGATCCGGAGGTAGAGGAATAGCTATTGTTGGAGCCGTTACAAGGAAATGTCTAGTAACAGACTGTGTGCTCAAGTGAACTGTAAAATGCGGGAATACCGATAGTGTTATGGTTATTTGTAGTTATGACCTGTAAGCAGTCAATAAATCTATTCATCAATGCAAACCCTTCTATAGTCACACATGCTATTGAGAGTATTTAAAAATATATATCTTGTGAAGCTGCTTACATAATTTGAACATTCTGTACTGCTACTAGTCCATACTTTTATTTCTTCAAAATATTCTTCTCAGCAGTTTTTTTCTGAAACGACCTCATTCCANGACAGTATTTAAAAATATACATCTTGTGAAGCTGCTTACATAATTTTGAACATTCTGTACTACTACTAGCTCATACTTCTTTTTCTTCAAAATATTCTTCTCAGCAGTTTTTTCTGAAACGACCTCATTCCGTATGTAAAATGATTTACGCAGCTGAAATCTCAGAGTGAGGAAGCCATATCATTACAATAAACTTTTACTCTGACAAAAAATACGTTAGTCTGAGATCAAGCTTTATGTTCCAACAGTCTATTATACATCGACCCATTCCACTGTTGGTTGTTGGAAAGCTGTCCGGCTCAAACTTGAGATAGATGCGAACAAGTTAGCTGGTTGAGTTATCTATCTAGAACTTGTTACGTAGAGTGGAAATGTTACCTTATAACTTGAAAGCCATTCACAGATATCGCTGAGAACAGAGAGAAATGTCTGACGAGAATAATTGAAGGCACGACAACTTTGTGTGTCCCCTCGTGTCCATCTCTGTAGACCGTTACCGATTCTGAATGATGTCTTTTGCATGCAGCATGTTCAGAGCTTCCAGGGGACAAAATCTATAGTAATGCATCAGAGTGAAGAGGACACTATAAGCTGATTACATTAATGGCCACATCTACAGAGCTGTGGGACAACATTCAAAGCCAGACCAAGCAAAGCGTTACTTTCACTTCCATGTAGAAGCCCTGTGGTCAACTCATGGTTTTCACTCACACCGATATATACGTAAGACTATGACTTGGACAACTGCTTAAAGTTGTTCTTGTTCTTGTGCTTGTTGTTTATGTATAGAGAGACCAAAGGGAGCCGTCGGCAATGGAAGGCAATTAGTTGTGGCCAGAGAATAATCCAAGGAAGACGTGGTTGGGGTTGCTTTGCGAAAACTTCCTTTCAGCCTGCGCACGTGCAGTTTTCTATCCTCTCACATGCTGTTAGCTTCTCCAGGATTTCATTAATATACTCTAACTGTTGCTTCCCCACAGTTTCGTAATGTGCCTCGCCAAGTTACATCTTGTATGGCAACATAATAAGCTTCGTATAAACTCCTAGTTTTGCCTCTTTCAGTTTAAATAGAAAATATTTTGATCTGTACTGAGGCCACAGAAAGAAGTCCCTTGGATGGTAAGGACCCGTCCTCTTCTCAGCCTCTTGTTGTACCTCCTCCAACACTGGCCACTCTATGCCAACCAGCCCAAAGGACTTGTCGAAGCAAAACTTCTCTCTATAATCTGTTCGTAATTTATGTAAACAAATGATTGATGATAGAAAACGTATTTTTCGCTTCTTATTTGTTTAAGGATATATTTGAGATACTTAAAAATGGCATAAAAGGATAAAAATTATACAGATCTTTCGTTCTTCTATTCTGAAATCCCTAAAAATAAGTTTGGACTTAATTAACTAACCCGTTCAAAAGTTATTGCACTTTTAATTTTCAATAAATGTATTTAGTGCACGTGCTCTTATATAAGTTTGTCACATCGTACCTTACAGCAGATGAAAGACAGAAAAAAAATTGTACCATAAATTTTAAAATGTTTACACTTATATAATTTCCGCCTTTGGGAACAATGTTACAAAATTACACACTCATATATATATATATTCACTACACCGTTCAGAAAAGAATAATAAAAATATATTGAAACTTTGACTTTTACTTGATTTCCAAGCTATTCACTGTAGTAGTGCTGCAACGTTGGAAACAGTTGTAAAGTAGCGCAGCAGAAAATGTAGCGAATTTCTTCTTCTCTCTTCACTTTTCTGTTGAGAGAGTCTTCTCTCATTGTTCTTCCTTTCCAAATACAAGTTGCTTTCGTCATTGTGAGGCGTGAAACACAGAATGTAACAAAGATAAATGCAGCTATAATTAACCTATAACTCAAAGGCCGTGCCATAGCTCAAGCGGTTAGTCGCTGGCTTCCCACCGCGGCGGCCCGGGTTCGATCCCGGGTTTGGTCAAGTGCGATTTGCGGTGGACAAAGTGGCGCTGGGGCAGGTTTCCCCTGCCAATCTTCATTCCACCAATTGCTCCACAATCACCCTCACCTATCATCTGGGGCTGGTGCAATAGGCCAGACGTGGCCGCAGTACAAGGGACTTAGTGCCACCCAACTAGCAATAAAAACCCTATAACTGCACAACGCGTCAACTAAAGCTTCAGTTGCTATGCTGGTCCGCTCATGTGGGACCACTGAACTGCGCAACGCAACGGAAAACTACAGTGTGATCAAATTTATTCTTCTCAAAGCGTATTTCAGTAATCGAAGTGAATAAAATTAAATTCATAGTTTTCATTGACGCATTGCTAGGAAACGTCTCGGAATGCACGTTCCGACCAACGTGTGACCAACAATGGAAGGGCATCTATTGCTGGGTAACGGACTTGTAAACACATTTCCTAGGTTACGCAGTCAACAGTGGGGCAGTGCTACGTTTCGCAGCAGCGGACGAAAGTACAATTCATAGCTAGGTGTTAGACAAATCATCCCCTAGGATACGCGTAATCAACAATAAGCGACCCTGCAGAGCACATTGAGTTTGAGAGACCCGTGTGGAGGCGGGGTCGAATACCTCCACCGTGACCTTGCGAGTCGTAGGAGGCGAAGAAAACGGAAGTGTCAAATCTGAGACAGTAAAATATTGCCGCGAGTCCCAAGGGACTCGGACCCGAGAAAGACTGCGCTGGCCAGAACCAGCAGCATATACAAAAGACAGACCTGTCCTCTCGTCAGAGAGGGCGCCCCACAAAAACAAGACCGTAACTGTCAAACATAAATAAATACCTGGTCATGAGCCCCAGATGATGCTCGACAGCAAGACTTACTGACTGACTGACCGTCAGATGCAATGTGACTTTGACTTTGACTTTGACATTGAGTCAATCCAGTGTGGAGGCAGGGAAGAATACCTCCACCATTGCCCTGCGAATCCTAGGAGGCGACGAAAAGGGAAGTCTCGAATCCGAGTCCCACGGGATTCGGACCCGAGAATGACTGCCCTGGGGAGAGCCAGCAGCAATTGTAAACGACAGACTCGTCCTCTCCTCAGAGAGAGCGCCCCACATCAAGAAACCCGCAACGGTCTGACAATAATAAAGATATGGGCGTGAGCCCCAGATTGGTGTTTTATGCCAAGACAGATTGGCCGACTGACCGTCGGTCGTAACGTAGGACTCAGACTCAATAGCAGAACCAAGAGAACTGGAATACAACGGAGACCACGAGAATGAAAATTGAGTCAGTTGTCGCTAGGAGAGAGCCAAAGGACGTTAGTAGATGAAGAAGCATTAGAATTCGCACAGTGAGCCCTTATTGTGTGATTAGAAAATTTAGTCACAGTGAGACGGTTTTTATTGCGTTTCAAGGATACGACTAGTAAAGACTGAGAACCCTAATACGTGTATAACGGTGAACTGTAAATTGTGTAAATCAGCGACAGCGCCGTATTGCCTGTAGTCCCGAGTTCATTGTATAAGGCGTTAATAAATCCAGTCATCCAATTCAGAACCCGTATTCTTCGGGGAACCCCGGACACGAGTAAATATATTTACCATAGTACTTTAAAGGGTTGATATGGAACTGACGTATGTTTTGGATGCCGACATGGGAAGGTGTTTATTTTCTTATTTTGATATATTTTGCATGCAGTGGATTAATTCAGCACTGAACATGTTAAGTTAGTAAAGTCGGCTTGATGTGAGTTACCCTTTGAACTCCTGTTTGTTTACAACCTCTTCCTAAACGTTTCGAATGGAATTTTAATCGTGATACTTTTAAAAACGTTAAGAGTATGACATGGACANCCGGAAATGAGTCATAAAAGTAATCCGGGTTCTTTATTGCCACAACTTTTACATGTAAAATGTACCGCACTGTAGCTAAACTGAACTTCTTACTAATTTGCGTATAATATACCACGGTAACTGCAGATAACTGCTCACAGTTTGTCCACCAACGCAACATGAAATCAGATTAGTCTATTAGTAGCTCTTTGATTGGTTCATACAAAAATGATAGTTGTATTGTGATTGGTACGTATGAGCGACTATTTCAGCAGCTGAATATAGAGGGCAGTACTGATATGCGGAAGTGACGACTGCATATTTTTGCATTTCTGCTGTACCATTTGCCACTCCTTGTCGAGTATTGTTCAGCTAGTACAATGAACGTCTGCAGTGTCCAACTTCCTATGTTCCAGACGCTCCGACATGTCGCCAGGAGCGCATTCTTGTGGTGGGAGCTTCGCGCGCCGAGAGCCTGGATATTGCCTGTGAGGTGGAGACTGACCCTCCCGCTCGGAGCTTCAAGTGGAAGTTCAACAATTCAGGGGAGACCCTAGAGGTCTCGCCGGAGAGGTTCGCCGCAACCAGCAACGGCACCATGAGTGTCCTGAGGTACACTCCTGTATCGGAACTGGATTACGGCACTCTGTCCTGCTGGGCTCAGAACGCCATCGGTACCCAGACTTCTCCCTGTGTCTTTCAGGTAGTTGCTGCAGGTAAAATTTCCGCCGCGACGGCACTGTTCACTGCTTTTATTCTGTCTATGTAAAGTGGGGAAGGCGCCGCAGACAGCAATGAAGCTCTTTGTAATTTCAGACCCCAGAATATTAAGGAAATTCGGGTAATGTTTCCTACCATTCAGTCCAGAAACTTTTGTCTTCTCGTCTGCTGTCTAAAAACGTAAAAATTAGAATATACAAGAAGAAAGCAGTCTTCTGGGGCACCGTGTATATGTGGTGTTAACCGACGTTTCGGAGGAACGTATCGCCTCCATCTTCAGGGTAGGAGAAAAATATAAGAAATCCGCAAGCGAAGAGACCGTGAGAACCGGTAAAAGCGGTCTGCGGATTTCTTATATTTTTCTTCTACCCTGAAGATGGAGGCGATACGTTCCTCCGAAACGTCGGTTAACACTGCATATACACGGTGCCAAATCCGAGAAGACTGCTTTCTTCATAGTCACCGCCGTGAAAGCCTCAAATCTTACATAGAATATACAAACCTGTAATTTTGCATGGGTGTGAAATTTGGTCTCTGACGTTAAGGGGAGAACACAGACTGTGAGAGTGTGGGTGGTTAGGTTTCTAGGTTTAGATCTATTTGAATTTTACAGCTACGAACAGAAACTATGTATGGTCTGCTGATTCAGGCTGTCCAGAAAAGGGTAAATAATCTTTTAACCCATAATTAAAGAGTGGAACTATTTGTACCATCTGCCTTAGACTTGTGAAAATCGGATTTTTTCCAAGGCATGTATGCATATGTTCGCTGCTATTTTCACAATGAACTGCTGAGCATAACAGAGTCTTATTTCTAGGATGATCCTATGGGTTTTCTTGAATATAATACGTAAATATTTGAATATTATAGTTGGTGGTGTATATTTATAGATAGTGTATCATGAAGATGAACCTATCAAAATTGAGATATTATTCATCTGGAGTGTTTTAACTTACGTTATAATTGAATATGTCCACGTCATTCGAAAGATATCAAATTATACTCTTTTACTTAAAGTTTTAAACTGAAAATATTATTTGAGGTTATGTACACAATTCAAGAATCATTATCATAGTGCCCTTATAAACATGTCTTTTTGTCTTGTATACAATCAGATTATGAAACGGGAAGATTGATATCTATAATGAATACATATTTACAGACCTTCAAGAAGTTACATAGTTTAGGTTTTGGCTGGTGTTTATGTGTCCAAAAGCCTAGCTGCTACTATTTTAGTTTTCTATTACGCTCGAACTGTACCTGCACAGCTTTCCAAGCTGTAGACCCGTCCTCCATTTTATGCATCCACTGTCCCTACCGTTACCGTAGTCCTGCCACATCGACCGTGTGCAGAAGAAGGCAGTTGTAACTCTGAATAAAACATAACGTTCATTCCTATTGGCTGGCCAAATCTCCCGTACCGTTGAAACCTATTGAGAGATTTGACATGGAAAATAATTTATTTTGTTTGTATTTTAAAATTGAGTGGCTCGTAAAGTAAAGTGAATTTCATATTTTGAACTGAGTCCTAAAAATAAGTTTGTTTGAAACCAGACTAACAGCGTGACAACCCCTAACACAGAACTCTCTGCACACACAGTTGTGAGAAACCCAAATCTCCCTTCAGTTAATCTCTTCGGATTCGAGTGCTGTAGGGATTGTATCTGACAGAAGGCCGGGAAAGACTACCCTTAAATTCCTTCCCAGGCCGCCTGAAGTATCCATCTGTATGCGTGGTAGTTTAAGGCAATCAGAGGTGACTTCGCAATCAAACTGGGCTTTAAGGCCGTAAACGACCTCTTTTTGTATAAATTCCATAGTTTCGGAGCATTTTGTTCGTCCCGTTTACAAATTTCCAATGCCTCTGAATATCTACGAATGTCCCTTTGTATGTATAAGAAATAATTTAACATCCGCTCCGTGCCATTTGCAGCGAGTTAACAGGATCACCGTTAGAGGCGCCATTTGGCAGTTGCAGGTACAAACTGAGAGATTCTCAGCTCGTGAATGTTACGCTTATAGGGCGATAGCCATAGGTGCGTGTGTTTTCGCATGGACCTTACTGTATATCATAGAAGACTACTTATAATGGATTAACTATATATATGTGCAATTATTCTTATCTCTTGTCAGATGGCCTCGATATGTACACTAAGAAATATAAAAGGGCTGGACAAGGAAGACTGAAAAAGGAGTGTAGCAGATAAAGGAAGTTTATAACAGGCTTACAGTCTAATTTTAGACAGATGTAAAATATCCTCTTAAATGGTATTTTTGAGGGCAAAACAGTGACTGTAGACTTTAACGTGTGCCCATTAGTACCGTTACATATTGCAGCATACGTTTGACAGCTTGACACACAGAACATTAATAGTATGTAAGACTTATCTTTGATTTGAACTTCATTAGCTGCAAACGTAAGGCGATCTCTGCGCCGTTAAAGTTTCTTCGCAAGGTTAGGTTACATTTTAATCAGGTTTAATAAAGTTCCTTTCTCAAAGTTTTGGTGTGGAGGAAAAACGCAGACAGCTGACATATATTGTTCTTGACACAGCTTTAGTCATTTGAACGAAAGCCACTTGGCTGTACCGTGTTGCTCATGACTCGGCAAACACTGCAGGGTTCCTAAGGATCAAAAATGTCCTTGTTCTGCTCTCCATCGCGATCTCTAAGCAAGTCAGTAATACAAGGAAGAAGGACAAAAGAAACAAAAAATGGTGGAAGGAAAGTAAATATACGAAGAAAGGAATGTTTTGTTGTGCTGGCCACAAAAGCCACAAAGTAACACACAACAGGATGCAGACACCATTAACCTCCCAGAGTTCTTAAGTAAAATGTAGGTCTCTCTCTAAGGCCCTCCATACACACACAGTTTGGCCTTCCGATCGACCTTACCTGTGACAGTTTAGCCCCTCCCTTTCCTCCCCATACACGCGCAGATAAAGCGGCAGGCTTCATGCCACAGTCACGGTCTTCCAGCCTATAATGTTGAGTCACACACGTCACGTGCTACGGTCATGCAGGTGGAACTGACGGACTGACAGGTTTCCCACAGGCCAACAGTCCAAACGATTGGCCGGCCGGCCGCACCACACACGTCAGTTTTGCCTTTCAGTCTTCAACTGTGCAGGCCGCACTGGAGGCCAAACTGTGTGTGTATGGGGGCCCTAAGTCGCAACAGAATTCAATTGGAACAGTGAGATGATCTTCAGTGGACGCCACTGGGCGCACCTTTTGTGGAACAACCGTTCATTTATTCATTCATCACTGGCTCTACAGCCCTTTGTTGGGCCCCGGCTGCATTTGAAGTTTCTTGATCTACACACAGTCGGTAGGACTCCTTGGACTGGGGATAAGCCCGTCGCAAGGCCTCTGTGTATACACAGAACAGCACAAACACAAAATTAACGCACATAGATTTCAAAGCTTTGAGTAAGATTCGAACCCACGATCCCAGCGTTCAAGTTGGCGAAGATAGTTCATGCCTTAGACCGCGCGGCCAGTGTGACCGGCTTGTGGGACTAGTATGTGAGGGCGATAACCGATGGCGCCGCCATCGTTGATTGATTGTAATATTACGAGTAACGCATTTATATAGACCGATCGTCGAATAATCTTTTCGCCTGTGCCCGCAGACACGCGAATTTGCTCGTGGGCATTGCTAGTTAATAAACATGTAAAGTGTTCGCTCTGCTCACAGCTGCCTTTGTCTATGGAAGAGAATGCAGTTTTTATTATGAATTGGAAATATATACTTTCAGGATTATGACTGAACAATATATTTTTAAGGCGAATACTAGTATTGACAGCTTCCTGTATTTACATAAAGAATTATAGCATTGATCCCAGGTTCAAAGCGATTAAGCACATGAAGAATAAGCTTTTGAATTGAATCCCATAGGCACAGAACGGTACACGGCCATTTGTTGATAAATTTTCATTTTAATATTTTACTTTTAAATACTGCAGAGACGATCAGTACAAACTGAAATGGATGCGTTTTTCCATCCATCAACGCGCAGGCTACAGCGAGTAATTCAGAAATGACACGTCTGCACAATTAAGAGAAAATACAAAAAAGTTTTTCTTCATCTGCACTAAAGTGAATAACGTTGTATGTAGGGATTGATTTGTTTGTTACCTTATGCACTAATTATTCATAATTTTTGTCTGTTTCGTGGCTCCATTATCAGTTGATACAGGCCTGTCTGTGTGCATGTATATATGTAAAAGCGGGCATGCAGTAGCGTAGTTCATTGAGACTCTGTTCTACAAGTCGCAAGGTAGAGGGTTCGATTCTCGATGAGATAATTGGATTTTTCAATTTATCTAATCCTCCGCGCCGCACTGTGACCCCGGGGTCCACTCAGTCTCTAACAGGAATGAATATCAGGAATTTTTCTGACAGGTGGGGGTAAAGGACGCAGCCGCGTATGGCTGACAACCTCACCGCCATCTGTGAGCCGATTGTCTAGAAAATGTAGGAACCTTGACGTCTCACAATCCTCCACGGCCTGTTACAGGGATAGCTTTACCTTTTCTCATACGTAAAAGTTGTCTTTAATGTTTATTATATTTCCTTTTAACCATGTCCGGATGAAAGGTATCCAAAATAAAATAATTATATCTCAGAAAGCTTTTATTATACACATTTATGGGTTACACCATTACAAAGGGGAATTATCAAAGTTCTTTTTCTGAGTGTATAACTTTCTCAGTAAATTTCAGTGTGGGCTCCCTTGGTGCCACGACAAACATCCAAACGATATTCGACCTCGTTCCACGTTGCTTGAAGCATATTTGGTGTTACCTGCGTCCCTCATGCTGGCTTTCAGGTGTTGAAGGTCTTTGATCTCAACCTGGTAGTCAATATTCTTCGTATAACCCCACAAAAAGTAATCCAATGGGCTTAAATCTGGCGACCTAGGAGGCCAAGCGATTGGTCCACCTCTGCCGATGTCTCCCAGCCATCCTCTATCTAGGTGATTCCTAATGT